TAATGCATTAACTAGGGGGGAAGATTTGATTTCTCGTAACATTTGGTAGATCCTGTGTAAATTTTTACTTTCAACATTAAGCTAATGTGGGTCAGTTTGGATGGGCATGCAGAAAGAGAGAGAAAGTGGGGAACTTCAGAGTGCTTTCTCTTTTTATTCCCAGTAATAATCGCATTGCATTGGAAGGAGCGCTCTCTCTTGCTTTGGGCCTGAAAGAAAACAAGAATCTGAAGAGACTTAGTGTGAGTAGCTTTTGGGAAGATGACTCCTGAGAGCCCAATACTCCAGGGTAGACGATCCAGACGGTTTCTGTTCTTTCCTGTGATCTGCAGATGTCCAGAAACCCCATCCAGAATGAAGGCTGCCTTGGGATCCTCAAAGCCATCCGAGCAAATCCTGGAGCTGCTATAGAGTTTCTGGATCTTTCAGTAGGTATTGATCGGTGGGTCAAAGAGGGAAAATTGGCTGTCTGAGATGCAGCAGACAATGCAGGATTGTCAGAATGGACGGGGAACAGAACAGACTTTATTGTGGTAATTGACCAGCATTCCCAAAGGATAGTGATTTGTGGGCAGTGAAGATGTGAGTGGCATGCAAAGCAAAGAGAAATCCAAACAAGAAGTGTTTGGTGGATATAATTCCAGGTTCTGCTGCGGTCAGGTGAGCAGGCTTATAGACACAAGTAGCAGTGGAATAAAGGGAATTGGTGCTCTGCTGTTTGCATAGAATTAACTTGTGGGATTGCTTCACTACATAGATTAGGGTAAAGGAAAGGCAGCCATGGTTTGGAAGCAGTTTGCATGTCTTTCTTCCAGGATGGCTTTTTGCCTTCCCAATTTCCTACTGGTCTCCCATCCGACCTGGCCCTGCCTAGCTTCCAAGCCCAGAGAAGGTTGCCAAGTTAGGCTAATGTGTTAAGGAAGGTAAGGCCTATTTACTGTGGAGGTGCTGCATTCCAGACTCAGGGGGTCAAATAGACAGGGAAGGCTACTTCCTCAAGCCCTGAAGATGAGGTTTCCAACTCAAAACAACACAGGACCAACCGGGCCTTAGTCTGATCCAAGAAGGATAATTTTCTGTCCTCACTCTGGGGCCTCGTCACTGATGTCAGCTGCTGATTTGGTCCTTGTCTTCGGCTGAACCTGTCTCTCCTGGCTTCCTCTTTCCCCAGTCAGCAGAAGCAGGCAGCTTTACTTTGACCTGTGACTGCTTGTTAGGCTGAATAGATTGTTCCCTTCAAGATGACTTTCCATCCCTTAGATCAGGGTTCCTCAACCTTGGCAACTTTAAGACGGGTGGGGAAGCAAGGCTGGCTGGGGAATTCTGGGAGTTGGAGTCCACCCGTCTTAAAGTTGCCAAGGTTGAGGAACCCTGCCTTAGGAGACTTGTTTTCATCTGGCTTTGGACCATTGCAGCTTCTGCTCTGACTTGCTCACTGCCCAGAGTTCCTCTTTTCAGGCAATTGTGGTGAAGCAGGACTTTGTCCGAGTAAGTGAGGCTGTCCAGGAACTTTTCCCAAGCCTTCTGATCAAACACGATGGAACCACTCACTTGTTCAGAAGAAAGCCTTCAAAGGTGCAGAAAGTTATTCCACTTTTCTGGGGAACACGTTTGTCTTTCCATGACAATATTGCCTCTAGTGTGCTTGTTCCTTCCTACCACTGTTTCTGCTCAAACAGGCCCAGCAGTGCACAGGGGGGCAGCTAAGGGGGTCAGCAGGATGAAAAACGCGTCCGTGGTGTCATGCCATAAGCCCCACCTCTTTTCTACATGCATCGTGATGTTCCACGCAAACCTAAAAGGGGCAGAGCTGGCGGCACAAGGCTGCAATGCTGCTTTTGTTATTCTGACAAAAGCAGGAAGATCCTGCTGGACAGGCTTTGCAGGCTTTGTAGCCTCTGGAATACTTTGGCTCTCAATGCCTGGACTGTAAATGCCTGCAGCGTCTGGGCTCCCGCTTGCCCGGGGAATCCCTTTGTGGGGAAATAATGCAAAAGCCTTTGAAATATTTTAGTGGAATACTTCCCCTGGAACTCCATTTAGATGACTTAAATTCCTGACTGTGACCCCAACCAAAGGAACGTGGGGTGGTTCCAGACCCCCTCCGAAAGGGCGTTCAGCTGTCCATGGTGCACTGCTTCTCAGTCTTACACAGCAGCACCGAGGGTGCCCAAGCAGACCAAAGATGGCTTCTTCCACTGCATCCTTCCCTGGCCAGAGCTTGCCTTGCAGAAGTCACGCAGGCCTGACGGAGGATCCCAGCTCTGCATGAATTACTCCCCGATGCTGTGGTGTCTTTGATAACAAACCTGATTCTGACACTCAGTAACACTTTCTTCAGGTCCTGCAGATGCACAAAGCCAAGAGCTCTTCTCAGAACTTGAGGCCTGGATGCAGCCCAACCCAGCTCTAGACCCAGTTGCTCTCCAAGGGCCATAGTTTGCATCTGCAGCTGGTGAAATCTGATGGTCCAAGAACAGTGCCAGAAAACAGTGGCATTGACTGCTTGGTGGACTTTGTGTTCTCCTATTTGCAGGTTTCCTGAAGAGATTCTTGATGGCCCTGGAAGCTCTCTGGTTGGCCTTTTCTTGTTTATGTGCCTGATGGGAGAGTCCTGTGAAACTTCTGGCGATGCTTAATAGAGGTCCAGGCCTTGTGATCCCCCTCCCCCTCCCCACCACGTAGAGCTTGTGTTCTCGTGTTAAACACCACCTTTATATGCTGAATTATCGCTGTGGGGGCTTCCTTCCGAAGATGTTAGTATCCTGCTCGTAGCAACATTAGGGGATCCATTGGCACAAGATGTGGCAAGAGCTCCTAGCATTTTTCCCTTTGAGGCAAGATCTTCCAATGATCTGATTAGGCAGGATGTCCAAGTAGGCCTCCAGTTGAGGCTAACAGGAAGCCGATAAAAATCTGCTTCTCTGGGCAGGAACTTTGGGCGGGCAGGAACTTTGGCTGCATTTATTCTCTCTTGTTTTACAGAGTTTGGGAACTGCAGTTCTACCCAAAATCTGTTCTGGCACTTTTAAGCCAACTTGTTTTGTGTGCCATCCTCCATATAAACTTTTCCTCTTGCACATCCTGCGCAGCTTTCCCTGAAAACGTTTCCAGTTGCCAGGACCGTACAGCAGACTTCCTGGCCTGGCATTCTCCCTCCAGGCAGCCCGGTCCTGTTAGCCAGAGGAGGTGGAAGTTGTATCACCCCTGCCGGAGGGCTTCTGCTTGGGGGAGGTATTCCATGCCCTCCCTCCGCGTTAAGGGATCTTGACGCAGTGGTGGTGAAATTCAGGATTGGCTGAGTGAGCCCAGGGCCACAGAGAGACAAGGCGGCCTTCCGGCTGCAGGCAGTGGGCTCCAAATCATATTGAAGGGTGGGGCCTGAAGAAAGGCGAAGGAAGGAGGCAGCAAGAGGGAGGGGGTCCGTTGGGGGGTGAAGAAGGCTAAAAAACCCCAGAAAATGTACAGTTAAAGCAGGGGGTTACATTACATGCTGTATGTTTCCAACTGCTGTTTGCTCAAAATGGTGCCATTTGTAGTAAATAATATCACAGGGTAAATTAGCATATGGGTCTCTGGATGTTTCAGCAGAAAAACGGGGCAGAGAGGAAAGATTCATGCTCTTTCCCTCTGTGCCATGAGTCTATTCTGGATCAGATCTTCACAAAGCTAGTTTATTAAGCATGTTTTTTTAAAAATTCACAAGAGATCTTGTGGTCCTTCAAAAATACGCTATTCCATGAGCTTTTGCAGATCACAGAGTTAAGGAGTTACAAACAAGTATCTTTGTTTTTGATGCGGAGGTTAATACAGCTACTGGACATTTGTTAGAAACCAGACTTAAATGTGATGTGCAGTTAGTTACTAGCTAGGAAGATTTGGAAGCAGGAAGAGACCTGGATCTGGCATTGCAAGGATGGAAGTTCACACACCAGTTTAAAAGAATTAGCAGGATCTTCAGGGTTTTGTTCCTCCTGGGAATAAAGTAACCAGAACTGTATTCTATGTTGCCACTCATTTGCTGATCAGGCCAGTTAGCCAACTCATTCCCTGCAGATTTTTTAAAGTTCCACCTCCTGGGGCTTGAATGCTGGAGGCGCGCATGGGAGGGGTGTTTCTGATGCTCAGCGTGGTACAGTCCTTTGAATGCCACTGTGTGTGATAACTGCAAGAAAAGTTTGTGGAAGGACTTTATTAGAAGCCACTATTTTATAGAAAGAATGATGCTGTCTTTTTTTTAAAATGCTTATTCTATTAATGCCTTTTAATTTTATGCACAAGGGGGATTTTTAAAAAGTTTTCTATTAAAATGCAACCTATTAAACCAATTTCTTGTGAAGACTGTTGTGGGGTAATCCGGTGGGAAGTTATGGGGAATCACGTCTTGGTAAAGTGCAGCCATGGGGCACTTCTGAGCAAGAGGGCTTGGAGGTGAGTGGCTGGTACAAGGCCCAGCCTCTGACTTCGGAGCGATGCGCTATGGATGCACTCCAAAAAGTGGCAGAGCTAAGGCAAGCCATGCAATTGCTTTAAGCGAGGTGAAATGTAAATGGAATTAACAGCTCCTCCTCCTATATTTAACGTAATTCCCTTTTTATCATTTACAACTGGGGAACAACTTCTAGGGTGTGGCTGTAGGATTCCTGAAGGGGGAAGACCGTCTGAAATAATTCCTGGCTGAAATAATCTGCACAACATCACTTTGACAACTCACGGCCCAGCAGAAACAAATCTTTATCGTTGGTTGGCTTCTTGGCCAAATGCCATTGCACAAGTCACCACACAGAAGGAAAACACAGACGCGGCCAGGGCGCCCCCCCCCCCCCCGCGCTACAGTTGAGCAGCAGGAAGTGGAGGAAGTGTGCAGTGGAAAAGGGGCTGTGGGGCTGCCATGCAGGACAAACCCTGGGGAGCCTCCATCCCTCAATGAGGAAGGGGGCACAGAGGCTTTTTGTTTGGGGCTGGAGGGAAGCAGGATCTCCCCCTACATTGTTCCCCAAAAATGAAATTTGATATCTTTCTCCCCCCCATCCTTCAGAAGTCCTATGAGGCATTTCATCTTTCCCCAAATTTTGCTTCCACCCTGCTCCAGCCCCTCCTTCAGTGCAGAGGGGGGGGTTGACCTAGAGGAGGCCCCATTCTCACTGAGAGGGCCCACCGCGCTGGTGCTTCCATGCACCCCGCAGGGATCAAATTCTGCTGCTCTCTTGTGTGGGGGCCTGTGCAGGAGGGCAGCAGCCTCTCAACCCTGCAGGAGGAAGGCAGAAGCCACAGCGCACTTTTGAAACAGTGCGGTTGAAGGATTGTCCTGTCTGACTTCCAACCAGAAGAGTGCCAGGGCCAAAAAGGGCCTTTAAAAACCTCTTGCATTCTCACAACACGTGGGAAGAACAGAACAGCCCTGAGAGGTTGCGTTCACATAACATGCCAAGCCAGGGCAGTTACAAGCTATGTTTGCACAACAGGCTCAGCTGGGAGAATTTTAACGGTGTGTGTGTGTGTGTGTGTGTGTTGGTGGACATGTGGCTTAGCATGTTGTGCAAAAACCATGATTGGGTCAGCTTCTGATTCAAGGTATTTGACAAACCAAGACAAGGGGCTCATTTGGTCACTGGGTAAGTGTGTTGTGTGAACGCAGCACTCTTCTTTCCCAGCTTCTGTACCCCAAGGAATAATTTTAAAAACAAGATTAGTGCACCTACTAACATCTCTGCCTTGTATTTCTGGGGAAATCCAGTCTTGGCCTTCTTTCCCATCCATCTCCCTTTACTGTTTCTCTCCACATCAGGGCAAGGCAAAGGTTTGTTCCAGGGCTGTGCAGGGGGAGGAGAGTGTCAAGAACATCAAGATGGCCACAACGATGCAACTGAAGGATAGGGCTCCTATTGTGTGGTTGTGGCTAACATCTTGACTTTTTTGACCACCCCTGGTTTGCCCCTGCTATGACCAACAGCAGCAGAACGTCTTGCTGCAATTGGTGGCCTCTAATTGCTCCCCCGCTTGCTTACTCTTCAGTCTCGGTCTGTTGCGCTACCTCCAAGTTGTACCTTTCGCATCTGAGGAGCACCCAAGAGCCAGGGCTGTGGATGTGTAAGAGCAAGTTTGCATTCCATAGTTTTAATGCCTGCTCGTTTCAGGACGGCCAAAACCTTTGAATGCCCTGTCAGCTGGGTGTGCACGGTCACCACAGCCCAGCCTCTATGCAAGAGAGAGACCCCTGCAGTATCTCAGGACCGCCAGGGTTGCCTTTGATAGTGGTCAGGCGCTGAGTTTGGGACAGACGGAAACTGGAAAGTCAGCTTGTCTCAGAGTCAGTCCACCATTCTGACAGCTCTGCCCAAAGGGGGAGCTTCCTAGGATACAGCTGGGCCAGCCCATAATAGACGCTGCCTTCCTCCGCTGATTATCAAGATCCCGAAATGGCAGGCCAGGGACTGCCACCTGGAGGGCAAGGCAGAGAGGAAGGGGATGGAGCAAGTAGGTGGCACAAAGGGGGGACGGGACCCCGTTGCTGGAAGAGGGTGGTTTAGCCCGGCTGCAATGCGGGGGCACAAGCAAAGAGGCCGCTTCTCAAGGGCATCCGGCAACAGGACGGGTTCGGGCTCCCAGCCAGAGAAGTGGAGCCAAGTCAGAGGGGAGCAGTGGGAGCTGCCCCCTTGGCAGTAGAAGGTCTGTTTCTCCCCAGACTTTCCTGCCTGCGCCCTTCTCTGCCCAGACTGGAGAGCAGTGGGCTGGATGGGGGCAAAGGGAAGCTGGCCTCTGCTGGACCTTCCCCCGTCATCTCGTGGCTCCTTCGCCGCCTTCCTCGGTTTCCGTCAAGCCCTGGGCCAGCTGCGTCCTGGGCTGCACCGCCTGCACCGTCTCCTCCAGGCTGCTGCTCGGGAAGACCACGTAGCGGGCTCGCACGTCCTGGGCCGGGGGGTCCCGCAGGTTCTCTTTGCTGTGCCAGATGCCGTAGCTGAAGTAGACCAGCAGGCCTGGAGTGACGACGAATGGGAAGAGCCAGATCAGCCCCCATCCTGGACCCAGCCGTGGAGCCCCAAAGGCACCGCTTCCCTCGGGTTTTGGCAGCCTGGCGCATGTAGAGACAAGCTTCAGGAGCCCCACGGAAGCTGGGGGAGCCCCCTTCAATCTCACCTTGCAGAACCATCATTCTTTGCCAGCCCGTTCAGTTCTTGGTGTCAAGGGGACTAAAACAACGCCTGGCTTAACAATCTGGGTAATTCACTGCTAACGTTCCTTCTTAGCAAAGCAGGTGGCCCAGAGGACCCGAGCACTGAAAGTGCTCCAGGCTTTGAGGAGTGGGCAACATAAAGGGAGGCCCTGCTGCTGCAGCCGGGATGCTGGCGCCCCAGTGATCATGTGACCTTAGGAAAGGGGCCGAGCCTGAAGACGAAACGATATTCTGCCTTAGCTAACTGCTGCCTAAAATGGTTAAACGTATTTGCCCCCAAATCTACGGCTTTTCCCAATCTGGGCAGTTGCAGGGTAGGGATGATGGAAGTTGTAATCCCACAGAAGGGAAAAGACTGCTGCCAGAGGGCGGAGGGTCTCCTCGGGAGCACCAGGTCAGCAGCAGCATCATAGATACTGTACGTTTTCTGACATTTTCTCTAAGGCTGTTACAGTTGGGGATGGCTGCGTGGTTTGGGATGTGGGACTAATTCTACCTGCCTTTGGCATAGTGTTTGGGAACCTGGTCACTGGGGTTTGCACATCGTGGTTTACAGATTAGGAGGATATGTAAATACAGCCAACTTTAGTTTATTCACCAATTTACAGGTAAGGAAATCAGCTTAGGGTAATGACTATCGCAGGTCATTTCCTTATCTTTGTAATCCTGTAAGAGTTCAAGTACACATCAGCTCTGTGTGCAACCATCACCCACATTGTCCAGTTGCCTAAGTACATTTCCCAGTTTCCAGCTGGAAGGCAAAAGTGCCTCATCTCTTAAGTAAATAAGAGTACAGGTAGTCCTCGATTAACGACCACAACTGGGACCAGCAACTGTCACTAAATGATGTGGTGACCATGACAGACTTACACATGACTGCAATGGACTTACAACCTCACTTCTGCTGCAGTCATTAAGCAAATCACTCATGGTCTTTAAGCGAGACATCATGTGACCGCAACTTGCAATTTTACTGCCAGATTGACTCTGCTCGTCAGATGCTGGCTGTGAAGTGTGCAAATGATGAACATGTGACTGCGGGATGCTGCGATGATCATAAACCCCCACTGGTTGCAAAGCACCCCATTCTCGATCATATGACCGTGTGGATGACGTGACAGGCGTAAGTGCGAGGACCAGTCATAAAGTTACTTTTTCAGTGCCATTGTAATTTCAAACGGTTGCTAAACAGGGCAGTCGTTAAGTGAGGACTTCCTGTAATTGAAGTAAGTAATGGAAATCCCTAGTGAACCTTTTATCAAAGGTGGGAGCTGATCTGAATACAGGTAGTCCTTGCTTAGCATCCATTCATTCAGTGACTATTTGAAGTTATGACAGCACTGAATGAGGAGATTTACAGCTGGTCCTTGAAGTTGTGGCCATTGCAGTGTTGCCACGGTTACGTGATCATGATTTGGGTGCTTGGCAACTGATATGCATTTACTACTGTTGCATTGTCCCATGGTCATGTGCTCGCCATTTGTGACCTTCACTGCTGGCTTCCCACAAGCGGAGTCAGTGGGGAAGCTGACAGGAAGTTGCAAGTCACAGTCATGTGACATCATGCTTAACAACCGTGTGTGATTCGCTTAAAACAACTGCAACCAGAACTGCCAGAAATGCTGTTGTAAATTGGCATGATCACATGATTTTTTTGGTTTATGACTGTGTTGCTTAGACATGGAGTTCCTGGTCCCGATTACGGTTGTTAACTGAGGACTACCTGTACATCTCAAAACATTACTTGCAATTGCTACATCAGTCACCAGTAATAGTGTAATCATTTTTCATCCTCAGTAAATGATATCTGAGGATCTGAATAATGATAATATTTGCCAACTTTGGAGAGTTATAAATACTTTCATAGCACTGTAATATTTTTGTCTCCAGTTTGATTCTAAAGGTTTGTTTTACACTAGAATGGTGGATTTATGCTTCCAGTGCTGTTAAACCAACTGCAATGGTGTTTTTCCTTCTTTTTAACATGTTTGACATTTGTTAATGTTTCAGTAATATTGTTACTGGGCAGGTTACAAATAATGGCCACTCCCCACCTTCTTTCTCTCAAGACAGGCAACTTGCCAACTCTTAGAGATGGTGAATAGACTGAACCTGTGCTCATGGGCACCGGGGGGTGGGCGTCAAAAAGTCAAGATGGTGGTCAGGACTGGGTGACCAGGCCCCACCTTTTTAATGTACAAAAGAGTGGGGCTTCAATTGCACGGTCATGACTGCCCCCTTAACCTTTTTGACCTCCCTGCAGGGCCTGCTTTGGATGCAACCCCCCCGGCTCCAGGTCTGCACCCCATGCTTTCTCCAACTCTTCATGTTTCTTCCAACCCCCATTCCGGGCGTATCTTTTTGCAGCCCTCTTCGAACTTACCTGCTACCAGCCAGATGGAGAAACGCAGCCAGGTCATGTAGCTGAGCTTCAGCATCAGGAAGAGGTTGATGAAAATACTCAGGGCAGGAGTCAGCGGCACAAGGGGGAGCTGGAAAGGAAGCGTGAGCGGGAGACCGCCCGAAGGCTGGTTAGGGCTGCATGGAAGACACCGACACCTGGGGGCTGGTGCTCAGCTCTCACCCGATGTGCAAAAGCACTTTGCCGCCCGAAGGGCTCTTGGCACAGGATTTGGCCCATCGTGGTCTGGCAAACAATGGGATTGTCTTCCCCAAAAGAGATAAAAACCATGCTTGCTTTACAGCTTCTTTGCAAAAAGCAGCAGCGGGAAGCTCCAAGGAAGTGTTGAAGGACCCACTTGGGCGGAAACTGAAGCTGCACTGTAGACACAGTGTTCACACAACATGCCATCCCCAAATTAAACCACATTACAGTGGTTTACCACATTTTCATGGAGAAAATCTATCTACTTATGTGGTCGCTAGGAGTTGAAAACGACTTGATGGCAGATAATCAGTCAATCATGGCTCAATGCAATGTTAGACTCAAACCATATTACTTAGTATAGGGGCAGAGTCAGCCAGGAAACTTTCCCAAACCCTGGAGGACTTGTCCCCCGACCCTGCTGGATGGCCAAAACACAATTTAAGAGGACATTTCCTTGCCCAGATTCAACCTGGTCAGTCTGAAAGGCAGCCTGCTCTGGCCCAGCTGTGTTTGGGGGAGGCGATGTGTTGGCCTCCCAGTTGAACCCCCATCTGCTCTGCATCAAAACACCGCAGCTGCTGAGCCCACATCCCTTACCTCAGTGTTGCCCAAACTTGGCCACTTTAAGATGAGCGGACTTCAACTCCCAGAATTCCCCAGCCAGCATGG